CTTTCAAGATGAAACTGTACAACACCAAATCAAATATAGTATTGAAAAATTAGGTTTGGTAACAATTAATGTGCTTTGAAATCAGATCTTTCACATAAAAGGTTGCATAAAATCCTTGTCAATACATTTATACTTTTGAAATTCTTCAGCCTAGCTACCCCGAGAATGAGGAAGCGAAAACATCTCTGCATCTGTGGCCAGTCCTGTTATGACAAAACAGCAAATGGGATTCGCTTCAGCATGCATATGAAATCACCCCCATTCCTTGAGAGGTACTGCCTCCCCCAATGCTAATGTGTTTTTTCTTTAGGGTTGCGAAGCTCCAGTTTTAATATATTTCAACACATCGAGGGACACAACTCTTAAACATCGTTCTCCTCATGTACAGGATCAGATTCCAGATCATCCATGAAGTTCAGCAGGTTCTCCTGGAGGACTCGCCAGATTTGTTTAGATATTTTTCCACCTCTGCATCAAAACTGAGAGGCTGCAGAGACTTTTCAGGCTGAATCTGCCATTACATATAGCCTGCAGACTTGTTAAGATATGACAATATGCATACAGTGCAGTATGTGTCTTACTTTTAAGAGTTTAGTCATGGGAAAGTATGGTGAATATTCTTGCAACTTTGGCACTTATCATCACTCTCCCATCAGCCATAGGCCCACATCTCCAACTTACCACCAGTTTCTGTGGTTCTCCTTTGTACACCTCTGTGGGTCTGCGAGTTGGACTATCAGATGACACACTGGGATTTAACGTCAGGGGTCTTTGCTGTCTGAGGTCAAAGCTCTGGTATTTCCAGTTGGAATCACAGTTCCATGGAAAACCACAGGATCAACCCAACGATCCCCAATTATGGCACACACATTTACACATAAACACAAAGACACACAAAAGACAAACAAATACACAACCTTCTCGCTCTTTGACACAATGGGGTTAATGCTCCATTGAAGCAACGTGGGTAATGTGATAAAAAACACATTCTAGGAATTTTGAGAAACACGACCTGTGGATCAACAGACCTGGTAACTGTTTCATGAGAATGAATGATTACATGCATTGAATAAATAGATAGATAGGTGGATCTGAAGTAGCCTTTCTTGAGAATTTCCTGCAAATTTCTACATCCGTACAGTTGGTTCGTTCAAATCTGAAACCTTTTTTTGCACATTCTCCACCACAGCACCTCCATCTACAGAGATCACACCACTATCATAAGTGTGGTCACTGATGTCAGCTGGCCTTCTCTGGGTTTTTGTTGTTGCTGCTGTTCTCCCTGCCTTGGATTTTTATGTTTGCACACCAAATGTGGGAAAGGTGGGCTTTTCCCTACTGTAGGCTTTGGTATTGCATATCAGCAGGTGGCAGTGCATGGAGGTAAAGGTAATTCATTCTTTCAGTGGTTGTTGTCCTGATTGAGATATGTTTGGAGACGAACTGTAGGTGATAGTTTAGCCTTTATCATCACTTTTCAGAGGCACTGGCTTAAAGTCCCACTCTGGTCTTTTTTTTATTTATTATTATTTAATATTTTAAGTGTTCTCAGTGGTCTTTAAATTGTGGTTTTTAGCCAAAATCACGTTACGTGTGTCCTTTTCAAGGGCTTTTCTTCTGCAGAGCTCCAGTAGCTCATTGGCAATTCGCCTCTGAGTCGTGGGCGGAGACAGCGCTGCTCTGCACACTCCTCTTCATGCTAGCTTGCAGCCTCGTAGAAGTTGCAGGTAACATAGGAGCTATTCACTAATGTCTTTGGGGACATGATGAAAGTTAATATCATAATTAGCTTTCTTATAAGTTGCAATCTGCGAACGCACACGCTTGTTCCGTGATCATCCTCTCTACTTTTCAGAGTCAGGCCTGCATTGCGGAGCTCTGGGGGCGGAGCTTGGAGTTGCTATGTAGGAAGTCTCACTCTGAACCTGCCGTCTGGGTCTGCTAGAGATTCACTGAGGTTTGAATGCAGAAATACTCAGAAATGCAATTTTGCACTTAGTTTTCTCATGATATTTCCTGTAGCATCAGAAAAATGCCATTTGAACATGTAGACAACAAGAAAAACATGATTTAACCACACACACTGTGCCTGAGATACACCCTGGCTGCTGGTGACACACATTTCTTTCTCCAGTCTGTAGTCCTCTCCAGCCACACACTTGGACTCACAACACGACACGACTGCCTTCAGACCACAAGCCCCTTTCCTCCTCCTGCTGACCTCTCCACATGCTGTGATGAAGAAATAAAAGCTCGGAAACACAGACAGCAAACACACAATCACACAAACACACACGTACATAACGCACACATGGGCGTGCTCAGCCATTAAACCACTGGGCTCCAGAGACAAAAGCCTTGTCATGCTCTGGTGGGGTCCTGTCACTAATCCACACAGCTTTAGGGGTTGCAGACAGCAGACACACACTTACACACACACACAGTGGAGATCTATGTGAAAAGAAATTTGACACACACACAGCCTGGATTTGCAGATACATACTTACACACAGGCCCTCTCTCAAACACACACACTGACACAGACAGTGGTGTTGTGTAGCTGGCTGGCTGGGTGTTAAGGCCAGGCAGAGCTACTGGCGACAGGTTGGAGAGAGGAGATGGCTCACTAAGCCTAATCACACAGGGGAATGCTGTCTGGGGCACCTGACCATCAGACCTCTCTCTTGGCATGTGTGCATTTTGTGTGTACGATGACTAACACACATGCACTTTTGCGTGAGTGTTTAAGTGCTCATGTGTATGTGTGAATTCTGTATAGGGGCAGTCATAATTGGGACTTATCACCCTGAATGAGGCACAAGGAGAGGTGCCAGGGCTGGATTGAGGGCGTCTGACCGGAGCTGGAGTTGAAAAGGGGTGGGGGGATGTAATGAGTCATCCAGATTCTTACAAGTAAAGCCGCTCACAGCCGGAGAACATATTCCCTACACTGAACCCAGTCCAGCCAATAAAACTCAGCATCAATTACTTTAATCCACAGATCAAAGATAGCACAAAATGTTTGAAGTTCATCTGTTCCTCTGGAACCGGCTGAGGGTGGAGACATGTTCTGTCTGATATGTCCATTTTGCTCTTTATGTATCAACCGGCCAACACATTGGAATGATAATGGGTTTTATTGTCCACAAGATACTTGCCGGCCCCTAAAAGTTCTTCCCAGCTCTCTGCCAGTCCAAAAGTCAACACAACTATGTGACTAATCCATCCAGCCCTAAGCAAATTTGTTGTCACGTTGTGGTCGAAAAGAGTAAGCAGGCTGTTTTATTGAGGCTGTCTATGAGCTTCAAGGCTTCGCCTGGCAACAGGGTGTCAACTGCAACTATTTCAAGCAGCCACCATATGTCATAAATAACAAGTAGTTCAAATGGACCTCTGCTTCTATGGTGCTTTCCTAAACTTTTACACTACCCGTCACATTTACCCAAACAGATCACAATTGGACACCAGGACAGGAGGGTGCTGCTGTAGGGCAGAGGTTCCCAACCTTTTTGACCACATAGACCAACTGTGAGGTTTCTGATAGACCAGTGGGGATTATTACACACCTATTTAATAGTTTCAGATATATTAAAAGGGATATTCCAGCGTAAATTTAGGTTATGGTCAAACACACCATAACACGAGTTAGACAACCCCTCAAGAGATGAATGTTGCAGACTACTTGCTTCTCTAGTTATACCAACTTCAGCAACGACCACATGATAGCAATACACGGCGGTCTATCACTCCATGTGCAAATCTCAACCAAAGAGCCACTCTATAGCCACTAATAATGCTCAGAACAGCACCTAACTTCATCAACAGTACATATAGTTTCCCAGCCATAGTACTAGCCATCAAACATCTTTTTAGCTTTGCCTGTTTTCTTTGGCAAAGAGACTAAACACAACTCACCCACTCTCCTCCAGCAGCCGCTTGTTTGTGGGGGAGCCCTGACGAGTCGATCACCGAGTGCAGCGGTTCATTTCCATGAAGTAATAATCATCATAATAATCATTTTACACTGTAGACACGGCACTCGGTGATTGACTCGTCAGGGCTCCCTGATGTTGGTTGAGGTTTGTGCGTGGAGACGTAGACCGCTGTGTATTGCTATTGTGCGGTCGTTGCTGAAGTTGGTATAACTAGCGAAGCAAGCATTCAGCAACATTCAGGAAAACAAAACAAAACCCAGCTCAGTACATATGTGGTGTTTAACTCCTTGGTTAAAAAGCTGGGTGTCAGTGGCCTGGTTAGTGTGTGCAGTGTGTGGATAATACTACCCCAAATCATGTCAGGGAAGTAAACAGATGAAAGTGAGAGTCCAGGGGCCTTATTTATCAACTATGTATACGCACAGATGTGTGCGTAATGATTGCGTACGAACATTCCCATGCAAAGTATGGAATTTATCAACCTGTACTTGTGCTTAGGAATGTGCATAAATTTAAGCACAACTCTGACCATGATATACACAAAATCTAGTGGTAGAACAGTGAAACTACAATGAGAACCAGAGATGGGAATTGTGGAGTCACCAAGTCATTTCCACGCCATGGGCTCTATTTTTTTGTACGCCCGTGAGGCATTACTGTCTTCAGACATCTCTTGATCTCTTTGACTACTTCACGAAAATAGCAATACGCCTCGCCTGTGGCGGATTTAAAGGCAAAGAGAGGAGCTTATGTGATTGGTGAAAACAGGTCTCGGCTGTGTTAAATCCTCTCCACGCCCTCTCTCCTCCCTCGCTACGACTTACGCCGCTGGGAGGAGCTGAGTTAGGGAGCGGGGATACTTACGCGGGGCTGCGTTGCTCACCAAAATACCAAATTGTGCTTGTAAACACCCTGTCTGCGCGGCGGACCTGACTTAAGCTGCGCCTGCGGCACGTCTCCGGCGAGGCACGAAAATAGAGCCCCATGTATTTGTTCTGCTCTGTCACTGAACCAGCTGCTTCCAATGAGCAGTTAGGAAGGTGAGCTCATTAGTGAAGGCACCTGGAGACAAAACACACCAAAGCCATCCCAGTGCACACCCAGCTCCTGTCCACCCTGGGATTTTTGGCCACCAGAACATTTCAACATGAGATTAGAGACATAAACGGCATTTCGCAGCCAACGCTAAGCAGAATCATGTCAGCAGAGTTGGATGCAATAATTTCTCCGGCCTCAATATAAATCCAATCTACATAAGCACATCACCAACAAGCTGAAATAAAATTATTGGAGCCAACGATTGCACCCACATCGTGATAAAAGCACCTTCATACAATAAATTAAGTCATGTCAACAGGAAAGGATTTCATTCAATCAATGCACAAACAATCTGTGATGCACATATGTGTCTGTTAAATGATGTTGCCCGGTGTGTGTGGAGTGTGCACCTCCATGAGGGGGAAAAAATCCATTCACGCATTTTTGAGGAGGATTGTTGATACCATATATGGTGATTGGAGGCGTTTCTGAATGCAAATGACCCTAACCATGCACAAGCACGGTAGTAAAAAACTTACTAGTATGCGTATGACCGGTGTCCGCATGTTTGATAAATCCAGACTTTTTTTGTACTTACGCACATTCTAGATTTCATTCCTACGTCAGAATTTAGACCCTTTTCTACTCATAGTTGATGAATGAGGCCCCAAGAGATTTTTTTAGATTTGGAATAAAAAAGACGGTGTTTGTGGAGAACACACATACTGACCAAAGCTTCAAGAGTATATGTCTTTAATGAGGCTGTTTGATCAGATTTGAACTAAAGAGTATTTTTTCATGGTTTCTTAAGGGTCACACAGAAATGGAGGGTGAGAGGATCTGGATGAACATCTACAGCTCGCACTTCATCCTTTCAGTGAAAGTCTTTGAAGATGGTCTGGTGTTGTTGTGAGCAGAGGTGGAGACTGAAGGCAAAGAAGAAATAGATAGAATATTTCTCTGGTGTCCAGCATCTGGAGAGTCTCGCTCAGATCACAAGAGACTTTTATTGATTTTCCTTTTTAAACATTTTTGCCTTTCAGCAGCTCCTCTCCATCTTTGCCACATAACAAGAGGATTGTCATGGACCAAATTTAAGAGGAATTTAGAGATTAAAGTCTTGAAGATATTTTTGTGAGGGGAAAGCTGGGTTCCTTTTTTTTGGCTAGTTGGAGAGGTGAACCATATGAAGCTGTACTTTAAGGGCTATTGAGAATAAGTGATCTAAGTAAATACAGGGAATACCAAGAGTGCAGGTTTTTCCTGATTCGATCATGGATAAAATTAAAACCATGTAGGATGAAGATTATGTCTGCATGATTGTGATGATCGACATCTCCAAAGTAAACTTGCAGAATTTCTCCTAAAGTGACTACAGGGCAAAGAGTTTGAACTTGGGACCTGTTTTGTGCATCTATGATCGATGTCAGACGTAGATTTAGACATCTGGGAAACTACAGAGCCCAAAAAAGGTTTGCTTACAGTTTGCTGCCATGTTACTGTGTTTCGTTTACCTGTCTTGCATTTGCGATGCCCAACAGAGAAGGTACAATTTAATAACACTGTTACGTAACACTGGACTTTATGCAGTAACTAATAATGTAGTGTGTTGTTCAGTAACGTTTCCGTTACCAAACGTTGCGTTACTCTGTTCCTTTTGGTGAGGTTTTACAACGGCATACGGTTAACATAACATTTTAGCTATCAATAAAGTTTAATTGAATTGGAAAAACAAAGCACTTGTCACCCTCTAGCATCACACACGTAATCAAACATGCGCCATAAAGAGGACTGGACAGGTCAGGCCACGGTGAGAAGGGAAAGATAAGTTTCTCCTCATGGAGATACTCACATTATTTTCAACTCGGGAACAAAGGAAAAAACAACATTTAGGTAACATGTAAACGGTGTCCTGGGTCAAAATTTTTTTCTACAGGAACAGCAATCTACTGAAGCGGCATGCTTCAACAAAGTTAGCATGCCACTCCACCCAAGCAGCAGCGGTTGGAGTTCGAAAGACGAACCCATAGCCAGACACAACTTGATAAAACAATAGCACGGTATGTTTAGTTGTTTATTTGGATCTCTTTTAGCTCTATCAGGCGATTATTCCATTGGTGTTAGTGTCAAGGTTTGTGTTGGTGCACAACGGATCATACTGCTTGGATGATTGGATTCAGTGATGTTGATGCAAATGAATTGAAACGCTTCCTTTCTAAAACCTTAAGGCTGGTCAGTGAAATCAGACACAAAACACAGAGTTAGTCATGAGCAGCATCTCTCGAGTAAACACTCGCTCATGTTAATATGAAACAGAGCTCAAGTGGTTATTCACCTTAACTTCTCAGTTACAGTTCAGGTCTGAACCTTTGACCTTATTGTCAGGCTTCAACATTCTCCTTTTGGCCAAGGCCCCTCCATCCTACGGTGGAATTATCACCTTGAACCCCAAGCGGCAGCCATTATCATTCAGCCCTGTGGTCCAGCTTTGTTGTTACCTCAACTTTTGCCCAGTATGGTTATGATTAATCACCCTACCAGTAATTGGAGTGCCCTTCTTCCCCTCTGTTCCCGCCCTCGTCTTCAGATGACTGTCTGAAGACGAGGGGCTCTAGATGACTGTCTTATGTCGCAGCCTGATACAATAGGATACAGATGCGTGATCGATGTTAGACAGACAATGTTTCCTAAGCAGCAAAGCATTGCGGTTTAGAATTACAGACATACGGTCCCATCAGCTGACTTGGCCTACTTTATGGCAAGGGTGATTAATGGGACCTTACTGGAAGCGAGAGGGACTTGCTTCCTCTCTGATACTGATACAGAACGGTACATTACAAACACGCACCAGTTTGTGCACATATGCAGGCAAAGACTCAGGCAGAGTAAACCTCTGAAGTAAAAATGACAAGTTCCCGGAGCTTGTGGGGTGGACATAGATTGAATGTGACAGGACATATGAGGAGGAACCCAGCCAGGACAGAACCGTAATTACAGAGATGAGGCAGGGAGGGTATACGGTTCCTGTTAGAACACCACCAAACATCTTGTAAGTCACGTGACGGGGAGGCAGTGAGATATCGTCATGTATCATCATCTGGAAGAGATCACGCCAAGACAGACCTTCATCCTCAAACAATGCACTTGCCAGACAAATTCACCACAAATCAATACGAGGAACCCCCTCCAAGCTGTCGTTTCTCATCTCCTGCTCAATATACCTTCACTCCAGACTCATCCTTTAAGGCTTGTGTTTCTTTCTCATCCTGCTTCATTTTTCTTTGTAAAAGTGCCGCAGATCACAGCTTTCCTCTCCAGAGTGTTGGCCTGGCTGTTGCCGGTACTGTATGGCATGGCTGCAGGGTCATATGCTGAGCAGATGTGGTTTGAGTGGAATCTCCTGCGTGGTGGCTGCACATGCTATCTGATGATAAGCAGAGGATTAAATGTGATTGCACAAACCTCGGACTTTTGTTTCCATTTTCAATAAATCTGTCTGATTTGTCTCGCGGGTGATGTATTTTATATAAATAAACAACCGACAAACAGAGCCCATGTGTAAACAAGTACAGTAATAGGTAACATGTTGTGGATTAGACATCAGAGAGATCAGAGATAAACATGTAGTCTGATAGCTGCGCCAAAACTCAACAGCACTTTCATGTAAAAGTTTATTTCTACTCTTTTCATCAAAAGACTGAATGGGAAAAGTATTCAAGGATCTTGTTTTGGTGAGATTTTGATGTCGGGTATGATCCTCAAACTACAGAGCCCCTGAAGTTCTGGAGAGTAAAACTTTTAAGCAATTTATTTAATCTGATGAGAGCAAGTTACTGTCTTGTGCTCACAGAATAAGATAATTCAATATGAATAAATTATCTTGTAGAAATAACAAATGGCTGAGTGCAAACACAGAAGACACAGATACTATAACTACAACAACTACTACGAGAACTACTAAAGCAACCCTACAGTAAAACAGCATATAAAATGGTTCTATTGTGACCATTACTTCAAATCTTTGTTGGAACAGCAATGTTTACAACAGCAAAGTCACAATAAACTCAACATCTAAAAGTAGTTTAAGGTCGCTTTCATACCTGACCAAGCGGACTCGGTTCGATTGTGGAGCTGAAAGTCGCAACATTGTTGCATTTATCACTTGTTTCGGTTCTGCTTTCACACTGTGATTTCTAAAATGCACCAAACTTTCCGAGCTGCATCACGTGGTTGAAAGGGGCGCTCGTCGATTGGACAAAGTAGGAGGGGTATGTAACCTCACAGATAACAAACAGTGGTTTGTGCTTCGTCACATTATTTTATGGAATGCTACAACGTTAGTGAACACAACTGTTCCTATAATGCTATCGTAGTTTGTCAGGGATTGATCCTGTTAATTTTCTAACTTTGACGATCTAACATGTGACAACATATGAGCTCAGAGTTTAAGGACTGTGACTGTTGGTAGTTGTGATTTGATTTTCTCTAAATATGCCAAATTGTGAATTTATGGGTTATTGTTGTTCAGATAATTGAGCTAAGCTAGCTAGCAACTGCTAATGTCAGCGGTCACGTGTTACCATCGCTACATGTGACGCCGTGCTTCCACTACCCAAGATGCACTGCGTATAGCGTCATTACATACATTTGGTCCTGTGTTTGGTCTGGTGAGCTTTCACACTGCATACGAACTGAACCAGGGTTCACTTGCAAGTGAACCGAGATCCACGTTTTCAGGCGGACCAGAGTTCGCTTGTTTGGTCCGCACCAGAGTTCAGATGAGCTTTCACACCTGCCCAAACAAAGCAGACTATCTGAGGAAACGAACTCTGGTCCGTTTAAAGAGGACCAAACAGCTCTGGTGTGAAAGTGACCTAAGAACCGTGTTAAGAAAAACAGACAACACAGACAAACTGTCAGATTAGATTCCTCTTAACTCTTAATAACAAGCAGTTAGCTTTCAAGCACACGTGGATGCTTTTCTGTCATATGACATAGTTAAGCACGTTGAATTAATTGAAGGCAGCTTGTTTGTTCCCATGGAAGTTGTATTAGTTGCTTTATCAATCACACAGGTTCAAGTTGCTCCACTGTCACGTTTCATCAATTATCCATGAGGCAATAGCTTCACTCTCTCTCTCTCTCTCTCTGGTGTGAAAACACTTGTGTTATTGTACGGCGGTTTGTGTGTAGTTGTGTGTTTTTTTTACATATCTAACAGGAACTTTTTAATGTATTAAAACACACACACACACAAACACACTTTTTAATACGAGACAAAAAGGGCAGGTGCTCAAGCCTCCCGTGGGCCCTATATGTGCACATGGCTGTTACATTTTCTGAGTTTCTCAAGATTTCTCTTTGGTGTCGACATCTTGACTTATTTTGCTCCATCTCTGCCTCAGTAAACCAATGACACTGCCAAGAAAAACGTCTCGCACACGCCTGCACTCAGACAGTGCTCCGCAGCTTAGCAAAGGTATCATCCTGAGTGTTAGGGATTAAAATTACAAAAGCTTAAATAAACAAAGAGTGATTAAAATCTCACTGTGAAGGAGGCAGCACAAGATAGAGGTTTAACAGTATAACCACAGACACTCCCAGGGTGAGCCAACCTCCAAGATGTCTCTGCATATCAACCATTCACTGTTCATACGTTTAATATTCCACTTTTAACACTCGTCTTTTCATTAAATCTAACAATGTTTCAACGTCACAATGTCATTTAGCAGACGCTTCTATCCAAAGCAACATAGGGGAGACTGGGGACAGTTGCAACAACTTTTTGCTTTTCTCTCAATTACTCAGAGATGATTTGGTCCAGGCAAACCATTTATTTATACAGTCAATTTACATTTGTCCTCTTATTCCCCATACCATTTAAATATGATTACATCAGACAGATTTTTGACAATATTCATTAAAAAAATGAATTTTAATTTTCTTTTTTTTTTTTTGTCTCAATGAGCATTTTGGTCAAAGAATATGTATTATTTATTATATTATAATGATAATTTAAGATACAAAATGTTATAGTATTATTTATGTATTAATCTAATATCCAATATCAAGTTTTGTTTCTTTCTGCATAAAACATGGCTTACTTTGAGTCAATGTGCAAATGTTACTGATTTCAAAGTTAGTAAGTGGATTGTGGATTTTACCGAGATATGAAATCTTGATGCAAATGTAACGCTATATTGGGGTTTGCCATGACAAAACACCATGTGTTAACTAAACACACTGTTTTTAATAAATGGTAACCATGTAACTAAGAAAACAACTAAACAACGATTAAAACTAACTAAGTTGTGATTAATTCATGCAAACAGTCGGGATGGTATGACAAAAATACACCACATGAAAAAAATTACTTTCATACCTCAAAAAAAGGTTTTTATTTTATTTTGTTTTTCCAATAAATTGAGAAGATGATGCTGAATCTGTCCCCTGTAATGCTGGTGGGTGTGTGTGTCCAACTGAGCATCTGCAGTATCAGTGTCATCAAGCTAGTATGTTTCTGATTGGAGGAATAAGCCTTGATGCAACCGTCCCCGGTCCCCCCTACTTACGAGATCCAAGAAAACTCACAAAACAGCTGAAAAACTCTGAGTCTGGGTTAAAACCCAGTGTCCTCAGTTTTATGAAAGGAACCACGTGTATAAAGAAATAATTAATAGTTTTACAGTATTTAAGTATGCACAGTATCAACATAACATCCCTCTTGCTGTAACCTGCTGTTACTAGGGAAGGGGGGGCGGTGCTGGTGTCTGTGAATGTGTGTTGCTTGGCTAAGTGTGTGTTTTAGCTTTTGTGTGGCCTCAGGCTGGGGGGGTCAGTGTGTTTTGGGGTCACTTTGAGGGTCTCGGATGAAATTACCACCCCTCTAAAACACACTCACACAAACACAGGTGCATTAAGACACACACATGGACTGGATCTTGTCTGGTTCCAGTTCAGTGTGATTACCACTCCATTGCTCCTGGTATGAGTTGAATTCATCACTTGTTTTTGACACCACATTTCCATCAGCAGCCCAACAGAGTGTGTGACTCTTGCCACCCAGGATGAAAACTTCGGTCTAAAGAATCTGCCTCAGGCGCACTGTGAAAATGTGTGTGCATGCTGAGGGTCCTGCTCACATCCTAACGCATCCCAAATCTCTTTGTTACCCCCCCTTCCCTCTACTTACCATCCAGATGTGGTACTGGATTTGCAGGTGATAGTGTGTGTGCATGTGTGGGTCAGTTGTGATGTTTCTGTCTGTGTCTAGATGTGTGATATTATCTGTGCAGTTGTGTATAACTGGTGTGTATGTGTATTTGTGTGTTTTGGAGCTGCAAGGCAGCTTTAGGATGACTGATGTGTTGTGAGCAGTGTTGAGGGACACCTGAGACAGCAGGAGGATCAGATGGACGTCGCTCCATCAGTTAAGTGTCAGTAAGCCACACACATGCGTACACATCAGCTCAGAAGAGCAGGAAGCAATGGGATAAAAAGAGACAGTGAACCAGAGGGGGAGGGGGCTGGGTGTGTGTGTGTCAAGTAGGTGAAAAATGAGGAAGCTGTTTTGTAGACAGAACGAGTGTAATTAGTGCCACACAGCCACACTCACACACCCTCTGAGGGGCCTGATCCAGACCTGTGGTGGAGCAAAGGGAGGGTGTAAAACTGGTGAGGAACTCTTCTCAATGTGCTTATGGGATTGTGTTGAAAGCAGTGTTGTGCTAATTACTGAAAAATAGTCAGTAGTTACAGCTACTAGCTACTTTGTAAAAAGAATAAAAAGTAACTCAATTAGTAACTCAGTTACTTAAACCAAAAAGTAATGGGTTACTGAGAAAGTCACTTTTTAGTTACTGTAAAACGTTCTTCCAATGCTCCCATTACTTAAAGGTGGATTGACTGAGTTTCCCTCTAGCCGTCATTTCATTTCTGTACAGATGTTCAATAAAACAAACTGTTGACTAAACAACTGTTTCAGTTCATTTGCATCAACATCAACATCACTGAATCTAATCATCCAGGCAATATGATCCGTTGTGCACCAACACAAACCTTGACACTTACACCAAAATTTTACCATTGCACTCTTGGAATAATGGCGGTGAGTTTATCAAGTTGTGTCTGGCTATGGGTCCGTCTTTCGAACTCCAACCGCTGCTGCTCGGGTAGAGTGGGTGTGTACTCGCTGCTGTGACTCTCGGCCTCGGATGCTGCGTTAGCTACCTTAGCTGCTTACTTTGTTGAATCATGCCGCTTCTTTAGCTGCTGCAGTAGTTTGCTTTTGCTGATGTTTGCCATAGAAAGGATTTTTGACCCGGGACACAGTTGACATGTTAGCGAAATGTTGTTTTTTCCCTTTTACTCCCGAGTTGAAAATAATGTGAGTATCTCTATGAGGAGAAACTTATCTTTCCCTTCTCGCTCACCATCATGCTGTGCCTTGACCTGCCCAGTCCTCATCATGGCACGTGTCTGATTATGTGTGTGATGCTAGAAGGTGACAAGTGCTTTGTTTTTCAATTCAATTTAACTTTATTGATCACTAAAATGTTACGGGAACTATGTGCCGTTGTAAAACCCCACCAAAAGGAACAGAGTAACACAGCGTTTGGTAACGGAAACAGAGTTACTGAATTAAAAAAAAATAAAAAAACACGTTACATTATTAGTCACTGAATTAAGTAACGGCATTACCAACAACGCACTACTACCCGACACTGGTTAAAAATAATAATGGATGTATTAAGTTAAAACAGACCCTCATTCACTTCCTTGTGGGTGTTAGTGTGTGTGTGTCTGTGTGGAAAGGGTGGGGTGATTCGGTGTGTATCGGACTGTGGTATTGGGACAATAATCCCCAGGCATGAAAATGTCAGACAGATTAAATCAGAGTGGGAGGAGGAGGGTAAGGGGGCTACAAAGTCTCTAGAAAATGGCTCCTGTTCAGGACACAGAAGCCTGCAGATGACAGACTCTCATCCTAAAAGAGAAAACAACAAACAGTTAAAGGTGTATTCTGAAACTGTCTTTCCACTTTGTCCTCTACCTTGGTTTCCATGTTTGTTGCTTCGGTTTGCCTGTTTGTCCTCCACCCTTCCCATAGGTACTTTCCTGCTGTGAGTTTCGTTGCTTCTCTCTCTCTCTCTCTCCCTCTCTCTCGCTCGTCTGCTCACGGTGATACAGCAGTGACTCAGGCTCATTCTCAGGTAGACACCTGACACTGTGCTGCCGCTCTCACACATGGATTAACACTGGCATTCCTCCCTCTATCCCTCACTTATGAATCTTCCAGACTCCTAACTCCATTCACTGATTTTTTCTCATCATTTTTTCTTGCTTTTGTGTTTTTGTCCTTTATTACATCCTCCACTCATAACTTCCTATTTCCTAGAGATGTATCCTTCCTTGATCTCCTTTTCCACAGTCCAACTGAAAAATGTCTTGTTCATTCATGATTTAGAATTTCAGCTGCTAGTTTTCCATTCCATGATCCATCAAATGTTTCAAGAGGTGATAAGTCAGGACTGCAGGGAGGCCAGTTCAGCACCTGAACTCAGTGGTAAATCCATGCAGCACAGCCCAATTTGGTATTGGTAAACTGAGGAGCACCGAGATGCGCCGAGATGTGCGTGGCAGTGCAGTAGCGGGAAGTGTCGACAGAACCAGCTGGTGTATTCACAAATTCATGCCCACCAGCAGCAGAGAGAGTTCTCTGAAAGCTTCAAAGATTCAAACCTGGTTAGCTTTCTGCACAGGCAGGGCAGAGCTGATCAGGAGGGAAAATGGTGGATCGGCGGAGCAGTACGCACACGTCATCAATACCTCACAGGCAGGTTTCCACAGTGTCAGTGCAATAAATAATCGACAACAACCAATAATCTGTGCAACTATCTGGGTTAGCACAAACATTTAGATCTATACCCATATATTCTGATACTTTTGACACATGTTATGCGCACTTAACCTGACCGAATTAACACAGCCAAAACTGTGATGCCTATAATTAAATATCCTGCACATGAGCCTCCATCACCAGACATCAATTGCCCTCAACTCCTGATTCAATATTTGGAACCCCACCCGCTGGGTCTCCAGGAAGGCTGCCAAGGCTGACGAGAGGATTTATTGTCACGATCAAATGAGTGATTCATTTTCGAAAATGTTAACAAAACAATAAAAGACACTTTTATTCAGAATAACTTTTCTATCTAATGTTTTCACATCCTTAAATTCTGTGAATATTCAGTCAGGAGTTTGGCCTACATGCCAAAATTATAATATTCAATTGCATGAGCCAAGTTCATGTCTCATGCAAAAATTAATGGAGGAAAAAGCCAGGCCACGGAGCGTGACGCCTCCTTTACTCACAGGTGGTTTCAATCTTAATACCGTCAGTTAGACATGGTATTTGTTTATGTTGTGATCTGTGTGCACAACCCACCTCTGTCACGTGGGGTTTAAATGTATTCAACTTCATGTGAGTGTCTTTATTTGTGGAAAAGAGTGTTTGTCTTAACCATGGGCCTTACCTGGCACACACCAAATCCCTTTATGCTCATTTGAGAGAGTGTGGAGGACACAAAGTCCTCAGCAGCGCTTGTTGAGGAGCTGCTACAGGTTGCCACCATCTGAAGACGGTGCCAGAAGAGTTTTTGTTTTCTCACACCATTGAACAGCTTTTTGCATCGGGCAGCATTTCTCAGGACATCCAGGCAACCCTGGTCGACGATGTTGATTACAGCATCATCAGACCATAGACCTGGCCATGGCACGCCTGGACCTCCCAGACCGTAACATCATGGGAGAAGTATGGATGTCTAGCTTTGCTGTCCTCAGACATCTTGTTGACTACTTAACGCATTTTGAGATATGCCCTGCATGTGGTGCATTTAAAGGTGATGAGAGGAGCTGATGTGATTGGTGAAAATTCATCACAGCTGTGGTATAACCACCCCCCACCCTCCATCCTGCGCCCACTGGGAGGGGCTCAGATGGGAAGGGTATGTACTTTCGCGGGGCTGCACTACAATTTAGCAAAGTGCACTTGGACATGCCAAATTTTCAACCAAGTGTGCGGTTTAGAGGACCTGACTTGCGCCAAATGAAAAAAAAAGATCTGTGAGACCAGAAGACAGTTTTCTTCTGCTTCATGTACTCTGAGGTTGGTTGACCATCTCTGGCAGCTAATGTACTGTTGTTCCTATTGTTTGAATCGTATTCTGTTTTTTTTATTTTCTTAACTCTTCTCCTTCATTCTCACTCTCCCTTCCTTTCCTTTCTTCTCACCTACATTGTACAATTACAAGGTTCCTTGTTCCTTCCCTCCCAACTTTCCCTCACTTGGTCTGACTCACAGGCTCTCACCATCCACCTCATGGGCTCAGCATGTTATGTTGGAAATGAGTCGGTTTACGAGGAGACTTAAATTTCATAACCCACCATCTCCCTGACCCTGGACATATTAACTTCAACAGCCCCGCTGGACATTTACACACACACACACACACACACACACACACACACACACACACACACACACACACACACACACACACACACACACACTCTGGTGGGTCCAATAAGAGAGGGAAGTATGCTTGGATGCAGCTCAACAGCAAACCCACCTTAAGTCTCCTCCTGTGTGTCCTATAAAAAAACATATATCTCACACAGACACACACACACACACACACACTCCGGCTGTTTGGAAAATCATAACTTCAGTTCACACACCCGCTTTTCCCATCTGCACCCCTATGTCTGGGTAAAAGTGACTGTGTCAAGAAAAACACATTTACACTTTGAGAGACCAGTCGCCACACAGCGTACATCATAGAAAATTCTGGAGAAGATGGCGAGATCGGTGGATCATCATCCAGGAAGTCCAGACTGCATCCAGAGTAGGGATGTGTATTGATGCCAGTGTTCATGCCAATGCCATTACTGATTCTGCTTATCGATCTTAATCTTTATTGACTGCATTATCAATTCCTTCTGTAAATTTTCTGTATACAAAAAGTAGGCTTTACAGGTTTTCTGCGACAACAACATTTTATTGAGTTTCCAAGTAATTAATTATAAAATTGGTCACTGGATCTGTTTATCTCTGGGTGTGACTTTATAAAACGAAGTGAAAATTTTTGCACATGGTCACTGGATCTTTGACCTCAAATATTTTTGCTTTGAATTTTTGTTGTGGAATAAAATTTAGATATGAAAAAAAAATACAGAGTACAATAATTAACTACCAATTTCATGTGATGTCAAGTTTTTTACCTGCGTGATTTAAATTCAGTAGGGACTGGAAGAGTGCAATTGGGGGCAAATTTGACAGATTCAGAGAAGGAAATGAAGTCTGACTGAAGATCATTTTCCTCACCACCTCTCCTCATGTCTGTCAGCGCCTTCTGCTGCGATCTTATCTCTCAATTACTGCACCAGCACATTCCTGTTAACCACACACATGCATGCACGCATGCACCTGCGTGCTAAATGCAAACATTTCAATTTGAAGCACCGCACTGTGAGCTCGGTGTCATAACTGCTTTTCACTCCTCTGAATTTACTTCATTTGTCACATTGTTCCTGCTGGAAGCCCGAATAGCATTTAGCTCAAGTGTGAAATCACGAGCGTTAAACACTTAACAGGCAAAACAACTTTGTCACATTGTGAGAAATTGCCATCGCCGTATTCCATATTTCATACATTTCATCTAAACCATTTAAAGCATTATGTCACACCCGTCACATTCACACACTTGTTTCTCACACTCAGTAAAAACACAGAGCGCTCTAGAACAAATGAATCTCACTCCAAGAGTTTTGGGATTCTTACACGCTGACTCATGTTGGTCTAAGAAATGTCATAGAACACGAACACACACACACACACACACACACACACACACACACCTAGAAAACACATGTGTGCACCCAGGGGCAATTTTGACGAGTGAGAGCCCTCAAAACTGTAATAACACTCAGCTACTCCCAATGAATCATTATAATTCAGGACCTGTGTGTGTGTGTGTGTGTGTGTGTCATTCAGTGTGTATCAATCATATAAAGGGCTGACAGGGAATATGTGGGAATTGCCAAAGCATGGTGGACACCTTTTGCTGAATTGAACCAGTAAATAAACAGGAAAGAAGAAATAAAGTCCAACTAAACACATAAATATGAACAGGCTGATGATCCAGAACTGTTGAATCAGGTGTTGATAAATGATTTTTTTTTACCTGTAAAGGAGTAAGTCCACACTATGACACAGTGAAATAACATAAAGACACACACACACACACACACACACACACACACACAGACTAAATTCTCATAGATAACATAGATAACTTTATTCTCACTAGTTTATTACTCTATTCTCATAAATAATGATTATAAAATTACTATATATTTTTAAGATTTATTATTTATGTAAATATTTTTCATATATGTGTAAATATATATATATATATATATATATATATATATATATATATATATATATATAATTTAAAAATTGATTTAATGTTATTTCAGCTGTGTTAATTTGGCCAGGTTGAGTGTCTAAATGCGTGCCAAATGCGCTCATTAAATAAGATATAGATCAGAATCTATCGATATAGATCTAAATGTATGTGCTGACATAGTTGCACTGATTATTGGTTGTTGTTGATTATTTATTGCACTGGAATGTTCCTGACATTGTGGAAACCTGCCAGTGAGGTATTGGTGACGTGTGTGGGCTTCTGAGCTGGTTTACCAAAATACCACTAAACCAGCTTCGCTCAGCCTGGGCTGAAAGCTGACCAGGTTTGAATCCACGAGCTTTCAGCGCACTTTCTACACCACCGGTGGGCATAAAAATGTCACTGGGCCAGCTGATTCTGTCGACAGCTCCACTTACTGCGCTACCATGCTCCGCTTGGCGGACCTCGATGTGCCTCAGTCTACCAAATTGGCTGTGCACCAGGCACTGCTGGACTAAAACACCACTGCGCAGGGTGCGCCACCCCAAACTGTGCCGCTGGCGGGCATGAAAACAGAGCCCAAAGAGTCCAGGTCCTAGACTGGCTTGCCTGCAGTCTTGTGTTGTTAAAGAAAAGCTGATGGAACAAGACCATGAAGTAGCTTTTTAGGAGCGTGTTACAGCATCAAATTCAAAATGGGTGAAAATTTACCAAAAAAAACCAAAACAATCAAGTTTATCTGTTTGAACAGTAAAGATTTTTGTCGTTTAATCCATTTAATATAGATTGAAAAGGATGAAAAAATCACAGTTTTCTGTTTTTATTCTCATTGCCCTAACCTTTATAAGAAAGGTTAGTATATTATTTTGGTGAACGTGTCAGGAATGGATTAAACCGTATTTTTGTGTATATCCCATTGTTGAATCTTGAAGCTGATTACAAGGCCCCATTGTTTCAAAAATTCTTTCAGTACTAAATCTTCCATTGTTAGCATTGTTAACTGCATACTATGTACCATGTGAGAATGAAAAATTTAAATGCTTAGCAACAGTAACTAAGGGGAGTGCTGGTGTGTTAATGCTACACTTTCACAATGATGCATTTATATCCTTTCTCTCTGTATTTTTCTCTCTGCTCTTTACCTTATTGTAACCTTCCTTTTTCCTCTTTGGCTTTCCTTTTCCCATGCCAACAGAAACACACTTAGCTCTTACAAACACACACACACACACAAACACACACATACACACAAGCTTCATAGTTTTACATGAGAAAATGTCTCTCTTTCCATTTCTGACCCGGTGCCCCAAACAAATCCTGAATTAATTAAAAAAGGGAAATCCCAATGGTGCTTAGGCAGACACACACACACATACACACACACACACACACACACACACACACAGATTGAGTGTCTCTCACCCTCATGCGGTGGTTAGGGATTAGTGGAGCTTGTTCAATGATGGGAGTGTTTCCAGGTTGACAGAGAGTGACGAAGCTCAAGCAGCCTTGGTTCAAACATTACCAAGCACTTGCTTCACAGAGAGAAGCAACGCCAACCAGATCCCAGACTGACCAGTTTGCATCATACTTGCCTTAAAATCTTGCAAAAAAAGGTATGAGACTAGAATTATTCACTTTGAGACTAAAATGAGTTTATTTCAGAGACTTTGAAGCAAAATGAAATAAATATGTAAAGAAAAAGTGAAAGGTAGGCCGGATTCTGTTAAGGAAGCATCTTTTTTTTGTGGTGTATATACAAAAATCTTTTAATATCAGTCAATAGCTACTAGTTATTGACTGGTATTTGGGAATATAACGATGTGCTCTGTTCTGTTATGTCTGTGTAGTCAACATTTAAAATTTTTGAGCGGCCCGCTCTTTCTGACTGTAAACAAAGCCATTCTCCGCCTCCCCCAAGCTGGTTGTTTGCGAGGCGGACCCTGCTCTCTCATGTTGATTGGTTGTGAGGCACGCTCCACATCCTCGAATAATGTGCAAGAGCCCAAAACAAAGTTAGCGTGCTACAATATCGGACAGTAGAAACCAACCAGAAAGTTCGGAAAATTGTCTGAATCCTCCTTTGACCACGACCGCCGACACAAGCAAGAAAACGAAGTAAATACCCGAGACTCTGGAGGAACAACGGGCGCTTAAAACGGATGTAGACCGGACAAGAGCTAAATAGCCGGGTCATAATCAATAAATCATAAATGATGGGGGACACTTCAGGATCTTATGGACCCTGTAACCTTTCTGCTGGACAGGTAAACCGCTTTAACAAAGTAAACCAAGTGTTCGTAACGGAAGTGTTTCTTGTCAAACGGGACCTGCTGCGTGTTGTAGCGCTGCTTAACTGTTTACCGCGGGTCCTGGACTATGTCACTTTATACCCGTTGTAGGTGGCGTCCACCACCATCCGCACCTGCTGTCTTTCCTGCAGTGCGGCTCAAGTCCCGAGACGGGGTGGCTGCTTCACTCCAACTGTGGCAAAAAAACTCATTCAACTTGCTGCCTGCTCTTCCACACCGCAGTCGCCATAGCAACAGCGGAAAATGATTGCCGGTAGAAATGGTGCCGTTTCTCAAAGTGTGGCACACCCTATTGTGGGGGAATATGAACAGACCTGAAAAAAAATTGTCAGGGTCAAATGCCGACTTTAATTAGTCTGAAGCTCCTGTGCTAATTTGAGAGCTAAACACCAACAAAACCCTGAGCTTAGAGCCCAAACATCAGGGAGAGTAAGCCAGGACTACTGCTTAGAGCCCTTGCAAGGAATTTTTGATCTGTGTCAACTTTGGCGCCCCCTGTGGTCAAATGATTCATTACTTATCCTGTCCCCTGCATACTTGAGTCGCATCCTCTGACAGAAAAAACAGACCCTGCTGTCTTTTAACAGTTATATGTTACATGTTTTGTGAATACTGTAAATGTAAAGACAAGTCTACCTCCGTACATCAGCTGATCCCAATGCTAGCCTGTATCACACACAAGCTCAGCAGATGACTGTGTATCCAGTCGCAAATGTCCACATGGGTCTTGTGTTCAAACTGCTCAAGCCTCTGTCCTCTTGCTACATCTTTCACAAACTACAAAGATTTAACGTTGGACAATCAATAGAATAAAGTATGACCAGTATTTGACTGGGACAACAAGTGGGATGAACAAGTGCTGTCAAAACATGAGCTGATTTTCACCCAGACTTAATAAAAGACAAAAGGAGAGATTGAGACATGGCTTGTGATCGATCATCTGACACACTACAGCTTCTATTACAGACTCGAGAGGCTGCTTTAGTAGGGAAACCCACTCACGGGTGGCCATGTCCCGGCACTGATCCAACAGGTTAACTCCTGTGAGTGTGAGTGTGCGTGTGTGTAGATGTGTAAGTGTGTAAGTGGTGAGTAGGCTACATTATCTGGGTGAAAGTGTGTGCATCTGAGTGTGTAAGTGCTTCCCTCCTGACCAATCTGGAAGGTAATTTACTCTAATAACAGACCCACCGACACTCCAAACCTTTATTAAAAACCACAGCGAGTCTGAGACAGTGGAGGATGTGCAGGTGAATGTGTGTTTAAGCTTTTACAGCCTAAACACCAGATTCAACGATTGAAAAACAGTCACATAGGAGGTCAAATTCTGTTCCAAGAGCGTGTCTAGTATTTATGTCAACACTGAATGGCCCACAAACTGCTTGTCTAGGAAATGAATAATGAAGATCACTCTCACAAACAGATCATCATCTTCCTTGGTCAATGATCCCGTGGTGTGATAATGACTTTCTAAAGATGTTCCAAACATCATTATGTTGAGTTTCCATAATTTAGACTCGTTTCCACTTCAGTTTGAATCCATCATTTAAAGTGTTGATACTCAGGCTGATCTGTGGAGCTATTTTAGGACAACAGTCAGCAGCTTGTAACGCTATAAAACAGTGATGATGAGAGGGTTCTACATGTTTTTCACTCTGATGTTATAACCAAGCTGTGTGATTTTGATTGGTCAAAAGCCTATGACAACTATAATTCATTCTTAAAATCTGATAAAGGCTTAGCACTATAACACGTCCAAACTTCTAACTATATGCAGTTCTTC